CTCACACACACACACACACACACACACACACACACACACACACACACACACACACGGTACCTTCAAGACGTTTCTCCAGGCTGCTGACACACCCCACTAAGCCAAACATCAGCGCCTGCAACTGTTTCCTAGCTTCAGAGCACGGTAGCTTGAATAGGTCAAAAGTCAAGCTCCAGGTACCTTCCTTCAGCTGCAGGGTGGCTTTGCTGTCCTGCACTGTCAAGGCAGCTGCTCTGTGCTCAAAAGCTTCTCTGTGCAAGGAAGAGATTGGAGTGAGACAAGGGTTTCCAGACCCACCGGAATGAGCCCTGATTATTCATTCCCAGGTGGAAGATCTCACCTGAGAGCTCACCTGAACTTTGTGCTGTAATCTTCAGAAGGACACATCCCACTCTGGGACTTCTGAAAGAGAGAGACCCCCAGAAGAAGGCTTAGCCGCCAGTGACAGACAAGGGGCCTGATCCCGCTCTGCCGCATGCAGCCCCTTGCACCAGCGAGCGCGGGTGCAAAGCACCCTCTGATTTTACAACCACTCTGTACCGGTGGAAGCAGCCATACAAGGCCCTAGAGTTATGGATTGGCACTGAGCTATTTCACAGCGACTCCATCACACCGGCCTCTTCATTGCAGAGGAGGATTCCTTCCTCCCACCGAAAGAGAACATTGGTGACCAAATGACTGCTGGATGACCTCGCAGAGAGCAAGTACCCCTTGGGGTACATGGAGCGCGTCTTACAGCTACCCGCACTGCTACAAATGCGGGCCTTGTTTCTAAGCTGAATTTGTCTGGTTTTAACTTCCAGACGCTGGTTCTTGTAGGGCCTTCTCCACTAGGCTGAAGGACACTTCAGTACCTGTTTTTTTCTCCCCCATTAAGGTACTTATACATAGGTTTGGAAAGATTTAATGTTTATGGATATCAGTAAACACTGATTTCTGCGCATACACACAAACGGATGAAAAATATTTCCATTGATAATAATCAAAACTTAGAGATAGGCAAAGTGAGAAAAATACCACCTGAGAACTTCTTAGAGGTTGATTGAAGGATATTTACTTTCGATATTTTGACATGTGATACTGACAATGTGTGTTTTAAAGCTTTATAACAATTAACTTTTTTAATCTCAACATCAACTGTCATTTAATTATTGTCTGACCCCCCACTAATTTCCCACAACTGTGAAAATTTAAATACATGAAAATATTAAAAAATTCTTTAAAATAAACATTGATATTATCCATCAAAATTATAAAAAATAAAAATTGAATTCTGCCAAGCCTACTTTTACAGCCACAATAAATATAAATTATTGTTCCTAAAAGCCTGGATAATAACCCTTTAAAGTTATAATTAGACACTTTGGTTTTCTTAGGATTATTTTTTCCTGATTTTCTCTGCTTATTTTCAGGCCAAGTGTGATGTTTTTAAAGGAGCTAAACTGCTGTTTTTTAATCCATGTTTTTAAAACATTGCTCTCCTTAAATTATAACATATGTATAAAGTTTAACATCCCCCTGGTCCCTGCCACATTTGCAGGTCCCCTTTAAGTTGACTTGATGTGTGTGGTACCCATTGTGACTAGCATCTCAGCCACCCAAAGTTGGAATCTGCACAATTGTTACCTACGTGTCCCTCCAGCTTCTCCAGGGTGAAATCAGTACTCCACACCTCGGATGCATTGGTTACACTGGGGAAACAAGACGTGATGAAGTTAAAGGGACATTATCAACGTGACATCTAGCCCATTAAAAAAAAATGGTTGAAGTAGTTTGGGGCCCCGTGCCAGCTGCGGTTTTTACAATCACACTGTCCTGTGTTTAAGAATTGTTTTAGTCTCTCCTTTTACTCTGGGGAAGACCAGCCCAAACAGGGGAAAGTAACTTAACTGCTGGGAACCGATTATACCAGGGAACCAGTGACCTGTAGGACACACATAAAGAAGTTATTTCTCGAATCTTTCAGATACAGCCGTGGGTGTGAGTTGTAAGAAGAGAATGTCAGTCATTCAGACAGAAATGCAATTTTAGTTGGCATCCCTTTAATACAAAAAGCAGAACAGTTCAAATCAAGAGAGTTGTATTCTCCTTCCTCAGTTGTCCCTTTACAACCCCCCGGCAGTGCAAAGGGGCCCTCAATGAAGCCCAAATGCCATTTAGGTCCCCTTTAATGACTCCCTTTGTGCTGCTAAGTGGAGGGGAAACTGAGATCCAGGCCCTCGCATTTGTTTTTAAAAAGGGGCGCACAGATTTAGATACGAGTCCACACAGATCTGGCGTTTCCGAGATTCCCACCTCGGGTTAGTCTTAGTGGGAATCATGTTGGGGTTGGATTTAAACTCTTCTCTTGCGCGGGTTGTCATGGGTGCAATGAGCTAACGTAGGAGAGACTGACCCGGGTGGGCGGACTCACGTCTCCAGTGTCCCAAGGGAGCCCCCCCAAGGAGAGAACAGGCAGGAAACAGCAGAGAACTGGACTGGTGCGATGACACATATAGAAACCCTCCCGTTTTGCAACTGGGTGCGGTTTCCACCAGCAACATGATTATCTGGGCTACTTGTTACCGCCTGGTCCATGGGGTTGTGAAATAGGAGGGATGGGGTTTGTGGTCAAAAATACTCACGACCTGCTTCCTCCTGGCTAATGTGACAAATTGCTCTATTGGACGATTGCTATATCCTGAATAGTGGTGACTGGGAATTGGGGGGGGGGGGTGTAGCAGATGCCAATTTGAGGTCAATATTCTCTTGGCCAGATTCTACTGGGTTTATGGTGCTTTGTGCTATGGACTGGAGCAAAGTAGCTGGTGAATAACCAAGAATCTGGTTAATTATTATTCTCTAAATTCAGCTTTTTTCTCTCTCTCTCTCTGCATTATCACTAATTCAAAATAGTGGTGTGCAAGTTGACTGGATAATGGTAATAGCATAATCTCTTGTTAGAACATTGTAAACCCTACTACCTGGTTTTTATATTAAACACTTACTATACATAATACAATAAATCCCTGATGTTAGAACCTGGCTATGCCGCTGCTGTAGAGGGCTCATCACCCAGCAGCTGGGGGCCACCATGTGGGCTCGGCAGGGCTGCTGGCCATGGGGTGTGGGTGGGATCTCGGGAGTCACGTCCCAGGGATCTGCCCCACTCTCCGGCACTGCTCCAGCTCTGAGCTGTCTCCACTGCCTGGGACCTATGGGGCCCCACCTGCCTCCCCAGGGAAAGAGCCACCTGGGACTGGCGCAGAGGCTGGGCCAGTCTCAGCCAGTCACAGGGGACGGCTGGGGCGGGGGGGGGGAGGGGGCGGCTCAGCTGGGTCCTGCCAGGCATGTGGGTACTGAGGGAGCCTGGCCCGGGTAGGCTCTGCTCCTGCTCCAGCCTTGCTGATTGCACCCCCAAGGGGCCGGAGTTATCCTGCCCCAGGACCAGCTCTGGCTGTGCTGCCAGCTCAGCCTGGCAGACAGTCACCTTCCATCAGGGCCGGCTATTGTGGCTGGGGGTTAGGGTGTGGGAGAGAGTAGGTCTCTAGTGGGTCTGGGGGAAGGTGCTGTGCAGTGGGGGTTGGGGAGATGTGTGTATTGGGGTGGGGGGCTGTGCAGTGGGGAGATCTGTGTGTGTCGGGATGCTGGGAAGTGTGGGGGGTCTGGGTGGGGCACTGTGCAGTTGTGGGCACTGGGCAGTGAGGGAATCTGTGGGGGGGCTCTGGGCGGGGAGGTGCAGGGCACTGTGCAGTTGTGGGAGGACTGTGGGGGGTCTCCAGCTAGGGGGCACTGGGCTGTGAGAGGATCTGTGTGTGGAGGGGTTCTGAGTGGGTGGGGGAGTGATCTGTGGGAGGGCACTGGGCATAGGGGTTTGTGGGGGTCTCTGGGTGGTGTGGCACTGGGCATAGTGAGTCAGAGGGGTGCTGGGCAGGGGGGTAGCATGGTGCAGCATGGGACTGCCCTGAAGGGGAAGAAGCACGATGGGAGTGCAGGGCCGGGCTGGCCAGTGTGCGTCTGGCAGCTCCCGGTTTGTAAACAGTGCCCTTGTACTGCGCTGGGTGGAACGGGGCAGTCCCTGCCGTGCCATGACCCATCTCATCTCCCATTGCCCCTGGCCAGCCCGTCGCTCTGAGGACTCTGCCCCCCTGCCCCATGTCCCCATTTCCACCATGGGGGCTCACAAATATGTTTAGCACCAGGCCCACAAAAGGTTAATCCAGCCCTTTTTGGGGTGCAGGCTCTGGGATGCAGAAGGGCTGCAGGCTATGGGGAGTTTGAGTGAGGGGTGCAGGCTCTGACCTGGGGCAGGGGATTGGGGTACAGGAGGGGGTGCGGATATGTGGGCTCTGGGAGGGAGTTAGCAACTCAGCACGTTATATAAGAGAAATGAGCTGCAGTGAGTGATTTCATATAGACATAGAAACTGATAGAAGACACTTTTACATATTCAAAATGTGAGAGGCAGAGTTTGAGGGAGGGAGGGTCTGTACAATATTTCACCGCATTCAGTCTCCTGGCTGGAGCAGTAATGTAGCCCTGCACAGGGATGCCCAGAGGATTCAGCGTCCAGGAGTGGGGTTGGAGCCACGGCGCTGCAGCATGCCAGGGCTGCTCCCGGACATGGCGTGCTGAGACACAGGGGCTTGGAGGAAGACGGAGGTGCGGGCAGCCTCCGACATACTCATGGGGACCCCTGTGGAAAATTGCCCCACTTGCCGCCCCCCCCCCCCGGCAGCCCTAGCCCTGCAACACTTGTATAGGATACAGAGGAGCCGCGGTGATTAAGTTTTGACAGGCTAGGAATTGGAGCCCTGTGCCTTTAACACCCCAGTCCCAGCAACCTGCCCTCTGCTCCGGGGCTGACATGCAGCGTCCTGTGAGCAGAAGGAAAACCGCCTCTGCACCCCGACACCCCTAGATTAGCGAGCACAGTGGGTGGCTCATCCCACGGGGTCACTGTCCCCCCCCTTCCCCTCCCTAAACAGGGGTATTGTCCCTGCACGGGGTCTGGCAGTGTCTCCCCCGGGGTTAACCCCGGTTCCCACCCCCCACCCCCAAGTTTTCCCCTTCAGCCCCTCTCCTGCCGCTAGCTACAGTAGCTGGAGCCCCCCTGGCCAGTAAATTTCTGCCCCCTGCTCAGACCCTGACAGCCCCCGCGGCGATTTGCCCCCTGAATCCTTTTAAACCCCCCCCCCCAAAGAGGAGGCAGCAAATCGTAAGCAGAAGTAAGGGCAGAGAGAGGGCAGTGGCTACACGGAAGGTTACTGGGCATGCTCAGAGCGGGTGCGCATGCTCAGTGCAACCAAAGTAGGGAAACGGGAGCAGGGTCTATGGAAATCGACCCCCGCCCCCAGGCGGCTCCAGCCAGGCGCGGGGGCTCGGGAGCGCTGCGCCGGAGGGGCAGTAGCCAGCTCCCGGCCGGGAGAGGGGCCCGCGCTGCAGCGTCTCTCCAGCGCCCCCGCCCCGGGAAGCGGGACCCCGCCGCTCTGGCCCAGGCCCCCCCGGGAGGCGGATGAGCTGCCGCTCCTGAGGCCGGGGGCGTGCGGACCGCACGGGGGGCAGGGGGAGGGATCTCCCCGGGCGCTGGGGGCTCACAGCTGGAAGGGGGGGTCCCTGCAGCCTCGCGCCCCCCGGGGTACGGGGGGGGTCAGTGCCCCGCACTTACTAGACATCGAAGCCGCCGCTCTCCGGCGCGGCGCAGTAGCACAGATACTGGTGCCCCCCGTGCCACAGGGCGTGGAAGGGGCCCGCAGGCTCCGCCATCCCGGGGGCGAGGACCCGGCAGCGGGGCTGGGGGCTGCTCCCCTGGCAGGAAGGGGCGGGGCGAGCGCGGCTCTTTAAACCTCCCAGCCGGGCTTCAAGGGGGCGGGAAGGGGGGGGCCGGGGGGGGGGGGGCGCGGCTCTTTAAACCCCCCAGCCGGGCTTCAAGGGGGCGGGAAGGGGGGGGCCGGGGGGGGGGGGGCGCAGGCAGGTTAAACCCCCCAGCCGGGCTTCAAGGGGGCGGGAAGGGGGGGGCCGGG